CTATGGTAATAGGGGGTGGGGTGGAAGAATTATATTTTTAAAAGGTAATATGGGGAGGAGGGAGAGCTGCTGCCACCTGATTTTAGAAAAAAATATCCCAACCTTTTATTGAATGTTCCCGTTTCACATGACCAGCTAGTCTAGTTTTTTTTTCAAACAAGTGGTTGAGAACGAGGGGGGGGGGGGGAAAGAGGGGGTGAAGTTAATGCTAGCTGCTACTGATATCTCCCCTCCCCCCACCTCGCTTTTAAGCTTTCATTTCCTGTTTCTTGAAAAGCAGAATGTTACCTCAAGCAGGTCTATAGTACACAGTACCTCCCCCCCCCCTTTTTTTAACACCGTACCTGACCTGGACATTATTGTACACTAGAAACTGATGTGTACCTGCGTTTACTGCCATCGAATCGTATCTATGTGTTCTAGAATTACGTGTGCACATGCTAAGAATTGCTTCTAAATGAGGTTAATAGTATTAGATGTCTTGATTTTACGCGAGGATGCCAAGTTGATGCATTTGTCTGTCGTAAAACCAGTTTGTTGACATTGTAATAAAAAAATCTCCAACCCATAGCCTTCTTTTATAGACAGTCTAATGAGAGGCAATACAATTAGTGTGTGTGACTTCAAACCTAAATCTTCATCTAACCCTCTAAACATTGTGACTTGTAACCTAAACCTTTTGACACTAGTTAAACCACATCAAATTATTTAGGATCGTGACTTCAAACCTAAATCTTCATCTAACCCTCTAAACATTGTGACTTGTAACCCAAATCTTTTGACACTTTAGTTAAACCACATCAAATTATTTAGGATCGTGACTTCAAACCTAAATCTTCATCTAACCCTCTAAACATTGTGACTTGTAACCCAAACCTTTTGACACTTTAGTTAAACCACATCAAATTATTTAGGATCGTGACTTCAAACCTAAATCTTCATCTAACCCTCTAAACATTGTGACTTGTAACCCAAACCTTTTGACACTTTAGTTAAACCACATCAAATAATTTAGGATCGTGACTTCTAACCGAATCCTTTCGGCTTAACTACCAACAACTCTGTACACATTACCGAGAGAGGGAAAAGTGTTTCACCCACCCTAGTTACAACGTAACCAAACTTAATTAAGCACAAACATAGCATACTTGTTTCTCTTATAACTATTATTTCTTGTCTTGCCTAGTGTTATTTTTATACTCCTGCCTAGCACCCATAGCAAATTTGTTCTTCTCTAACCCTATAGCATACTTCTTTTTCCTGCCTAGTCTACAGTCCCACCCCCCACACCCACCCTCACCCACCTCCTTTTACCGGTTACCATAGTTCACAGGCTTGGGCCTAATATCAGAATCATATTTCTAAAAACTGCCTTCCTCTACACTTCAAGTAATCGACAGTATTTTGTAAGCTCTCATCAGTTTCGCCACATCACACTTAAATATTTTAAATCTGTTGGTGTTGGAATGTTTTCTCGATCGATGTGAATTTTCAAGTGGTTTTATAGTTGTATCAAATTGTTTAAACTGCTATTTTTGACATTGGCCACCCGAAAATAAAATAAAACATAACTGTTCCACTTTGTGACTTTAATTGCTTGAAGAGAATAACAGCTCATCGATGTAAAACATTTGTCAATACCACGCGCAATGAGATAGGTTACGTTTAGCATGTTTATACCGATGTTAAGGGAGTGAGTGTACTTTAAGTTAGGAACATCTCTTCTTCGTTCCTAATTGAAACATACGAGGGGATTTCTTCTAACTTAAATTAGAAGTTATTGTGTGTCTACGTGTGATGCGCCATATGGCTCGTTGACTCGGACTTTCTGTCTGGATTTTCTTTCCTAGCCCTTGCCAATCGCAGAACAGTAACAAGACACATTTGTTTTATTTCTCCTTGTTAGAAACACTCTAATAAACTGACAAACAGGAACAAATCAGACATTTACGTCTACAAAACACCAGATGATGCTATTACTATTATAAGCCTTGTACGAAAACTATTGAAAACATTATTTGTTAAAGTGCGAATAAAGTGTGTGGCTGATAAGGCTGCAGCCCAAGGCCCGGCCCCATCATTGTATTAAAGTAATAGCAACTTACACAGAGTCCCTTTTGGTTTACTTTAATAGTCATAAGAACCCAATATAATTACTTTCTTCCATGGGACACTTGTTTGACACACCCCTCTTGTAGTGTGCTACAGTTGCTGTAGAAAATTTCCTTATTTTACTTACAATTAATACACGTAACCACGTGTGCTCCTTGTATGGACTTAAGGTCCCCATTAAAGTAATGAGACTTACACTAGCAGTAAAAAAAAATTGCACTACACACACACCAGTTATAGCAGTAAAACAATTGGACTACACATTAACCAGTTTAGCTGTAAAACATGCACTTCTCACAAACCATTAGAGATTTTTTTACTCTATCGACCTAGACCTAAACGGCACGTAGTAAGATATGTATTATCTAAGCTGATTCTGTACTGCTGGTACTAATCTCCAAGTGAAACACTAGACAGAAAAAATAATTCCAGGTATTTAAATAGTCAAAATAACTTTCGATTATAGTTTTGAATGTGTATATACCTGTATCATATAATATATACGAGCTGATCTCAAACATTGTTTCACTGCACATAACAAAAATATTTTACACCTCCCACCCCACCTCATCACATACAATATATACTCATGTTTATAGTTTTTTGTATAACCTTAACTCCTTTTTTTATCTCATTGCCAAAAGCGCCAACCGCCTGTGATCGAAGTTTTAAACAACCAGAAATAAAATGAAAGCCTTCGACAGTGTGATAGCGATAGGATAACCGATATATTGCAAACGTTATTTTAAACAGTCTCCTGAGATGAAACATGATTTTTACAGCGTAACTACTTACTTATTCATAGCTACGTATTTTTATTAATATAGACCTGGATTAATATATATTTTTTAAAAACTTTTCGCAGCTCCCTTAGCATTAGTTTGGGAACCGCTAATTCATAGCCTCACTTGCATCTACTGCTTCAACGTGTTACATACACACACACATACACACACATATACATACATCTGAAACTTCTAGTTCAAACAGTCCTGCTAATAGCCGTAGATCTCCATAGCTCTTGATCACTTCTCCAATATAGTAGCACGTGTACACAATTCTTGTACACAATTATTGTACATGTTTCAATATCTTTGGTTGTAAGTGTATGGGATGTTGGCGTCAATATTGAAGTGTGCTTTGACTACCTATGTAATTGTATTGGTTGTTTGAGTCAATACTGTTGTGTGCTTTGACTTCCTATGTAATTGTATTGGTTGTTTGAGTCAATACTGTAGTGTGCTTTGACTTCCTATGTAATTGTATTGGTTGTTTGAGTCAATACTGTAGTGTGCTTTGACTACCTATGTAATTGTATTGAGTGGTGTAGTTAATACTGTAGTATACAATTACTTCCTTTATAACCGTATCGGGTGTTTCATTGTTTTATTCAGAACCCCTCCCCGCCTCTCAGACATTGGCCATCAACTTTTTAAACTCAAGGAATCGTTTCCTCCTGCCAGGGGCCACTCGCTGGGCTGCTGCCATTTTTTGGCCACTGGCCATTATCCCGATATCCCTGAAATCCCAGCCAGTATCCCTGGAGTGGCTGCCTCAAGTTTCCTGGCCTTGTTATATTAATGAGGTTTTCCTCAGAAATTTATTTTTAATGTTTCCATTATCCACTCCTGGCAGGGGGCTGGGGTGGTTAAGGCTTGGGGGGGGGGGGGGGGGTAATGGATTGTGGGGGATGTGATACACAGGTTGTGAGGTAGGAATGTGATAGTGGGGGGATGTGATTGTTTGTGGAGGATGTGTTAAAGGTTTGTGTGGGGTGTAAAGGCTTGTGAGGTGGGATGTGATGAAGGTTTGTGGGGTATGTGATAAAGGCTTGTGTGTGTGTGGGGGGGGGGGGGGGGGGGGGTGATAATGGCTTGAGGGGGGAGGGTGAAGGCTGTATATTTGCCACGGGTGGAGGGTGGGCACAGGACTGGGAGGCCCTGTTTGATTGTTTTTCGTTGTTTTTTTACTGAGTCGAAACAAAAAAAAGTTTTCCGTTTTCAAGTGAATTATTAATTTTATGTCCATGCATCCTATAGAGTTTTCGCACGTTCTCGCACTATGTGCCACATTATTGAACCATATTGATCGCTATACACAACATAATAAACAAGTTTTAAAAATTCACGCCTGTTTTATTAGTTATATCTTCCTCGCTTATTTAATACTATGATAACACCATGATACCGCTAAACTTAAATCGGTTAAAACTTAAGCTGCCCACCTTTTCAGACCTGGACCTATACATAGGAAGTTCACCAATTGTTACCTAGCCATATGACGTAACTATGCAACACAGAAGTCTTTACTTTTCCAAGCCAGGTACCCATTAAAGCTGCGTGGACTCAGTAACGTTCTACTACCTTGAGACTTTGAACCCGAACTCAAGACTTTAGGGTTAGCAGCCGCGTGCTTTACAACTCGTCCACGGTACATTTAGGTTAACCATACCCTACCCATACATATCGCATACTAACATTCATAACGGTGGTACGGCTAACGGAAATGTCAATCTGTATGTCACATCACAGACCGTCACAATTTTAATGTACAAGGGTAATTCACTTAGCTGTCAGCACGGTGAATTACCTGTTAATGTGAACGCGTGAATTATTTGACTGTTAAATAGTGTGACGTGTATTCTGTGTGATTGATGACTAGACTCTAGTGTTGAGGGTTATTATAGTTTTGTTAGGGTTCGTTATATGGTTAAATTTAAATATGGTTTAACTATTTTCAAACTCACTCCCATATATAGCTATACCACTCTTCCCTTTATAAAACGCCCCCACACAATAAAATCCTCACCCCTCTTCCACTACCAAACCCTCTCTTCTCTCACCATATATCACACCCTTCCAACATTACACCTTCCATATAACAACTCTTCACTCGTTCTAATGGTTATATTAATGGTTATATTAATGGTTATATTAATGGTTATATTAATGGTTATATTAATGGTTATATTAATGGTTATATTAATGGTTATATTAATGGTTATATTAATGGTTATATTAATGGTTATATTAATGGTTATATTAATGGTTATATTAATGGTTATATTAATGGTTATATTAATGGTTATATTAATGGTTATATTGGTTTTATTGATGGTTATATTAATGGTTATATTAATGGTTATATTAATGGTTATATATGATACTCACTCCCCCACAGTGTAATCCTCTCCTCCCATATACATTTTCCTCCTCCCGATTTTATCTCATTCTTCCACATAATTAACCGTACCCCCCCCCCCCCCCCCCTTGTACCAAATCCACATTTATCCCATTCAATCCTTATATCTATTCTCGTATAACTTCCTCCCTACTTATACGTCTCTCTGCTTTATCTAAACATCCACCCCCATGATATATCCACCTCCCATGTATCCACCTTCCATATATCCCTCTCCCATAAAACCACCTTCATATCACAGCTCACCCCCCCCCCCCCCCCGGGACACCTGCCGTTTACTTTACCCCACACCCACAGGGACATCCGCTATTTATGCCCCCTTGACGAGTTTGTTTTGACATGTAAAAGTTAATTAAATCCAGAACTAATTAGCTAGGTTGTTGCTCCACTACACTAATCTCATTATGCCAACACCAATGGCCAGTGGAGTCTCCCAAACATCAACCGGAACTTAGCCCTTATTTTTCAATTATTATTTGTAAAAAAAAAATAATTATCTTATTTCTAAAATGAGATCAGGAACAAATTTGAAGACGAAAAGTCTAATTTAACCTCGCTGAGGTTTTTTATATATCTGATAAAAAATTAATTTAAATTTCAAGGAAATGTATTTTCTTCAGGTTGAAATAAATCTTTTTACATGAAGTAAATCTATAGAACTATTTTAAATATTCGACCCAAGTTCTGTTTTGACCTTGCAACTAATTAAAATGTGAATGGCGTTTGAAAAAAAACAACAAGGCGTAGTTTGTTTATTTTTCCTACGGTAACTAAATGCGGGTTCTGTTTGTTTACTTTTATAGATAACTCGTGTCTAGGGTGATGACAGAATTGTTATTACCTCCCCGTGTGTGTAGCCGGCTGATACCGCTGTACCGTCCAGTAATAGCTTCTAACCATGACCTTCGCCTTGGACGTAATACTAACCCTTGACCTTTTACTAGACGGGGAAAAAAATGTGTGTCGCATCTTAGAAACGTCTCGTTCATAATTGAAGAATGTTAAGTTAGTCTCCCTTTGTTTTGACTCTTCTTTGTTCTAAAGTTAGAATATTCTGAGGTCGACGGTATTCAATGTTGCAGGTCTAGAGTGTTCCATGTTCTGTGCCTAAGGCCTAAAGTCGTTTTATATCTGTCTAAAAGTTTACTACTGTTTAAAGTTTACTATTTTTAGTCTAGAGAGTTCTACTTTAAGAGTTTTCTTCGTTCTTTTCTTTATTTTGAGTCTAAATAGTATCGGTCACTTAGTTTCAAGGTCGAAAATGTATCTGTTCTTAATGTAGGAAATGTATAAATTCTACTTCTGAGACATATCCTAGTCTTCTAGATTTAGGATGTGTCTGTATTCTAGACCTATAATGAATCCGAGTGGCTTAGTCTAGATCTAGGTTATGTCCAAACCTATGTCTATTTTCAAACCGAGTAGCCTAGCCTTGATGTAGGCTGTCCAAGCTTTATAGGTCTGAGGTGAATCCATGTAGTCTATTTTCAAAACCATCAAGCAAATGTGGATCTATTTTTAGAATGACATCACCCTTATCTCTGCCTGGATCGATGTCCTATCGAACTAAACCGTCGCACATTTCTGTGTCTCACGTGATGGACACTCACTGCTGGCCACAGCCGTATGATATTCATACTAAAGGTTAATGACAGTCATGATAACCATTTACAACATCAATGACAACCGTTTACTACACTCATCCTAACCATTTATAACATTACCGATTTACTATATTTTAATTATTTGCCACATTCCTGAGATCCATTTAAACCATTCTTGCAGCAGCCTTCAAAGACAGCATACCACTCTCCATCTTTGTCGTACTATTATCCAGTTGATAATTTCCCCCCCCCCCCAAAATCGACAGACCTAGATTGATTAAAGCCATGCCCAATTTCACTAAAGCTATATACAGCACCAGTCCGTAACACAAACATGTAAACCACTCTTTCCTTGTACCTTACATTGAACCGGAACCCATCAAACCTACAACCCTTCATTTCTTCAATCCAACAACCCTACAATCCCAACATGCAACCCAACAACCCTACAATCCAGCACCATACATTGTACAATTCAACACGCTTTCAACCCAACAACACTTTAATTTTTAGCCCTCCATTCTTTGAATCCAACAACTATACAATCCCCACACCATATAACCCACAACCTTACAATCCAGCACCATATAACCCAACAACCCTACCATCCCAACACCATACCACCCAACAACCCAACAATCGTTCCAACCAACAACCCTAAACGAACCTAACGATCCTCGTGTATCCATAGAGACGTCATAAAGACCCACTAACCTTTTAAAATCTCACAACCGCTTGTCAAAATTTGTCCAACTCAGCCCATCACAATCAACCAATAAAGTTGGAAGAATTATTTTAATATTTTTTTTTCAAAATACCCCCTCTCCACCATAATTTTCTTTTAATAAATAAAATATCTTCAACATTATTTTTATTTTATTTTTTTCAATTTTCTTCTCTCCTGATCGCCCCCCACCAACCCGCATAACCCCCACCCTTCGCATGCCAGTTCTAACACCTTCCACAGCAATCCCATTAAAGAATTAAAAAGCTAATTCTCCTTTAGAAACCTCTGGGACGTTCGCCACAGGTCGACACTGAAGGAACCGACAATCTTACACAAACATTTTTCCACCCTACACAAAAATTAATGAAATCAATTCTGGCCTGAAACCTTCCGAAGACGCTACTAGCAAAGAATATAAATAGCTACGGGCTTTTCCATTAATGGAATCAATACTCTAGCGTGATTCGACCGTTTTCATCCCTTTCTACAAAATTCACCTTTTTATCACTTTAGCATTGGATGCTGTTAAAATCCTGTTTTTATTTTTTTTTATTTTTAAAGGAACTAAATTTTCGTAAGGTAAAACATTTTATTATTAACTCCCACAAAATTCATGTTTTTATCGCGTCAGTACAGAATTCAGTTAAAATGTAATAAAAAAAATAACGAAGGAAATTTTTTGTTTGGACTGGAGTTCAGGTAAGTTAAAAAAAAAAAGGTAACTGAAATGAAAATTCGTGTTACCTTAACGAAGACAGACATGTTTCTTGTTTTCTTACTGAACCTACTCCTAACAAACCTGTCGCTATCTGTTCCTTGGCTACTTATTTTGTTGGATAAAAAAAAAATTACGGCTAATTTAGTTATCGCGCACATCTTCCCACTCCCTCCCCCCTCCTCACCTCAACCCCCCCCCCCTGTCATTTTACAATCTCAGGCTAAATAAATATTACACAGGTGAATTTTTTTTAAGAATGTAGAATTTGGTTTTTTTTAAAAAATTAGTGGTCATGTTTGATTAGGATCATTCTGCATGTATCTTGACTCCGTTATTTACAGGCCTAAAAGTTCGTAAAAAAATGCGTATGTTCATTAACTATGCTAAAATTTGCATTGTTAATTATATACAAACAAGTTGTAATGAGTGCATTGTTTCCATAAAACATGATCCGTTCATTGCGTTTAAAAAAAATGTGATGTGTCCAATATAAACACATGATTATTCATCTCCTTTTTACTTTGTCGCATATACGAAGTATAGAGAAAGTATTGTAATCGTGCAAAAAAAAAAATCTCGACGTTTTACATCTAACTGATACGGAAAAACATAATTTTACAATCTTGTTCGTATGTCTGTGTGTCTGTCTGTGTGTCTGTCTGTGTGTGTGTGTGTGTAAACACGATAACTTGAGTACCGTTATAGCTAGGTTGATGTAATTTCATATATAAGTATCTTATCAAAATCGTAGATCCTGATCAACTTTTGAGCGATTTCCGATAACCGGAAGTGGTACTTTTTCTACTTTGAATTTTTCAAAAGCCTATAACTTGAGTACTATTTGAGATAGATAAATGAAATTTCACATGTAAGTAAAAGATCTAATTCTCTACCTTCTGTCAAATTTTGAGTAATTTCCGTTGACCGGAAGTACTAATTTACGCTATTTCCGGTTTCTCAAAAAAAAAAACGCATGTAAATTTATAAAGTACTATTAATAATGCGCACTATTATGCACATTTTGTTTTGGCGATCGATTGGTGCGCAATTCTTTTTCTAAGAGATTCTATTCTATTTTTAAAAAATTAAGAAATTAAAAATCATTTCTATATTCCAAGTTATATGCGAGAAATGTTAGGGGAGATCACTCCCGGTTTATTTTCTCCTTTTTGGTTTTCAAATCACATTTTCTCCACTTCTTCTCAAGAACGCGGCCACAACTCACGAGGTATATAAAATTTTTCTTTTGTCGTTTATCTCTCTGTAATCTAACTCGCTCACTTTACCATCCTCCGAGTAACCCCAGCCCATCTATTGATCTATTCAGAGCCGTGTGTGGAAAATAGGTTGTCTTTTGTTCCTACGTGTACTCTTTCTGATAACAATTTTCTATTTAAAACCTTAAATTGAAATTATTTTCTTAGAGCTCATTAGTAAGGTATTCATGTTTTGATTAAAGAAAAAAAACTGAACATCTTCTGAGGTTTATTTTGGTATACGTTAGAGATTAGTTTATTTAAGACAAGAAGACGGTTTGGGTTATATATTTGTTACATTTGTAGAATTTGGGGTATATATTTTTGTTGTATGTAGAGTACACATTTAAACTGCATGAGTTGTACATTTTTGTTGTATGTGCGGTTTCCATGTTGACGGTATATTTTGTTGGATTATATTTGGTGAATCGTGCCAGCCATTTTAACTAGAGTGTATAATGACAATCGTTGTTGTAATGGATTATACCAACATGTCTAAGGTGGATCATACCAACCTGTCTAGAGTGGATCATACCAACCTGTCTAGAGTGGATCATACTAACCTGTCTAGAGTGGATCATACCAACCTGTCTAGGGTGGATCATACCAACCTGTCTAGAGTGGATCATACCAACCTGTCTAGGGTGGATCATACCAACCTGTCTAGAGTGGATCATACCAACCTGTCTAAGGTGGATCATACCAACCTGTCTAGGGTGGATCATACCAACCTGTCTAGAGTGGATCATACCAACCTGTCTAGGGTGGATCATACCAACCTGTCTAGGGTGGATCATACCAACATGTCTATGGTGGATCATACCAACCTGTCTAGAGTGGATCATACCAACCTGTCTAGAGTGGATCATACCAACCTGTCTAGAGTGGATCATACCAACCTGTCTAGGGTGGATCATACCAACCTGTCTAGGGTGGATCATACCAACCTGTCTAGGGTGGATCATACCAACCTGTCTAGAGTGGATCATACCAACCTGTCTAGAGTGGATCATACCAACCTCACTAGGGTGGATCATACCAACCTGTCTAGGGTGGATCATACCAACCTGTCTAGAGTGGATCATACCAACCTGTCTAGAGTGGATCATACCAACCTGTCTAGAGTGGATCATACCAACCTGTCTAGGGTGGATCATACCAACCTGTCTAGGGTGGATCATACCAACCTGTCTAGAGTGGATCATACCAACATGTCTAGGGTGGATCATACCAACCTGTCTAGGGTGGATCATACCAACCTGTCTAGAGTGGATCATACCAACCTGTCTAGAGTGGATCATACCAACCTGTCTAGGTTGGATCATACCAACCTGTCTAGAGTGGATCATACCAACCTGTCTAGGGTGGATCATACCAACCTGTCTAGAGTGGATCATACCAACCTGTCTAGAGTGGATCATACCAACCTGTCTAGAGTGGATCATACCAACCTGTCTAGGGTGGATCATACCAACCTGTCTAGGGTGGATCATACCAACCTGACTAGGGTGGATCATACCAACCTGTCTAGAGTGGATCATACCAACCTGTCTAGAGTGGATCATACCAACCTGTCTAGGGTGGATCATACCAACCTGTCTAGGGCGGATCATACCAACCTGTCTAGGGTGGATCATACCAACCTGTCTAGGGTGGATCATACCAACCTGTCTAGGGTGGATCATACCAACCTGTCTAGGGTGGATCATACCAACCTGTCTAGGGTGGATCATACCAACCTCACAAGGGTGGATCTTTTCAACCAAATAAGGTTGGATCATACCAACCTGTCTGGATCATACCAACCCCAATAAGGTGGATCATACCAACCCGACAAGGTTGGATCCACCCAACCCTCAAACACTCATATCTCTCCTGCACATTGCTGCCGGACCGACGATCGAACAGCGCGATATCCTGAGGGAAATTAACCGTCCGCCTTAATGAGCTGCAGCTAATTACATCCGGCCCGGTCCTCAACCTTGGGCCTAACATGTCGCTGGTCCTTTCATGAGCTGACTGGTACAAACAAGCTCAAACATATCTGGCAGTTGGAGGTTTTGTCATGCGTGATTGGTATTGGTTTTAGCGTGACGCGAACTTCCTGGGTTAGGGACCTTGTTAGGGTTAGAATAATAGTTTACAACAGGGGTCTCATGTCAGAAAGTTTGAGATGTGTTCTTTAAGGTTAATGTTTTTAAAATGTATAGTTTCAATACATTTGTGCATAGGCCAACATTTAAATGGGACTGCGAGGTTGTGGGTTAGAGCCCACCATTGTTAACTTAAAGTCTCAAGTTCGTTATTCGTGGAGTTAGTATAATGTTCCTGAGTCCATCCAGCTGAAATGGGTACCTGGTTAGAGTTGGGTAAAGCGGAGGTTTCTGAGATACATGATGAGATTACAGAAATGGATGAATACAATTTAGTCCGGCAAGCCTGGATCAAAAGTTTTAGAAAACATATCACCCTAGGTAGCCTGCCTGTTCCCCTCCCTGCTCCTTAAAAAATCCAGTAACCTGGAAAACCATACGTATAGCTAACACAACATTTACTGGCATCAATGACTGAGATGTAGCACTAAGAAAAATGTACCAGCAAATAACTTAAATAGCCACTGGTTTTTGCGTTAGCATCATTATACACATTGATTTTTACTTGGGAAATTTTAACTTTTCTCTTGGTTGTAACTCCTCAGTTCTGTATCATATAGTATCATTGTCCATCGTAGGGGGTGTTGTATACCGTTTTTGACTATGATTTCTTATATCAGATGTTTGTTCTTCTGTTTTATGTCGATTTTTGTCATGGTAATTTTGTATAAAACCTGGCTTGTTTGCCCATCTGTTTCACGTCGATGTTTGACATCACAGTTTTGTATAAGGTCTGTTTGTCCGTCTTTTTTAATTCGATCTTTGCCATCTAAGTTGTGTATAAGAAAAGGCCTATTTTTCTGTTTTACGTCGATCTTTGCCAAGTTGTGTATAAGAAAGGGCCTATTTTTCTGTTTTACGTCGATCTTTGCCAACTTGTGTATAAGAAAAGGCCTATTTTTCTGTTTTACGTCGATCTTTGCCAAGTTGTGTATAAGAAAGGGCCTATTTTTCTGTTTTACGTCGATCTTTGCCAACTTGTGTATAAGAAAGGCCTATTTTTCTGTTTTACGTCGATCTTTGCCAAGTTGTGTATAAGAAAGGGCCTATTTTTCTGTTTTACGTCGATCTTTGCCAAGTTGTGTATAAGAAAGGCCTATTTTTCTGTTTTACGTCGATCTTTGCCAAGTTGTGTATAAGAAAGGGCCTATTTTTCTGTTTTACGTCGATCTTTGCCAAGTTGAGTATAAGAAAGGCCTATTTTTCTGTTTTACGTCGATCTTTGCCAAGTTGTGTATAAGAAAGGGCCTATTTTTCTGTTTTACGTCGATCTTTGCCATCTAAGTTGTGTATAAGAAAGGGCCTATTTGTCCATCTGTTTTACGTCGATCTTTGCCAACGTAGGTTTGTATATGTAGAAAAGAGGGTCTATTTGTCATCTCAGTTTTGTAGAAGATGGGGTCTATTTGCCCATTGCTTTGACTGACAACTTGTGACAGAAAGATCGATAATCGATAGGTCGGTGTGGTCATGGCGGAGATCGATTCAGACATAACTTTAATGTTTGACCGTGGAGTCAACACCCAAAACACGAACTTCCGTGCTTTATATTTTATTTCCAACATGGGTTTAATTCAACTCGTTAGCCACGCTAAACTGGGTTAGGTTTAGGCTCAAGTTCTTCCTGGTAGTTTAAGATATTTAAATTAGAATTCAACTTGTAATTGAAGAACTTGATGCAAATGGGAACCTGAAACGGATTATCATTTTAAAAAAGAAATCTTCAGAGAAAAAAACATTTTGAAATTAAATAGGTTTTATAATCTTCTTTACCAAATTAACAGGAGAGGTTAAGATTACATGCGGTAGAGAGCTAGAATGCTAACCTGAAAGTCTCGAGTTCGAATCTGGGTTCAAGTTAGTAGACCAGCTCTGATGGGTACCTAACTCACGTTAGGGAAAACAAAGGCGGCTAGGCTTACTGCTGACCTCATTATCCCCTCATATGCCGAGGTCCATGAAACAGATGAACTCTACTTCATCTGCTCCATGTGTCTCGAGCACATGGAGCAGATGAACGGGAAAAGATTACATGCTTAGTTATAAAAATTCGAACGGCTGGTTTTTAAAAGATACCCGTTAGTGTTTTTTTTTAAAAATCAAAATAAAACTATATTTTTGTTTACTTGCTTTAATTTAAGCTCTCGCTTACGTGATTACATTGACTTACCAATTTTTAAGTCAGCGTGAGTAGCGATTATGGTGGAACATAATTCCCCGTGTAAGTCCGCGTCAGAAAGCTAGTCTCGTATAATTGAAGGCGAGTTTCTATACTCTATACACGCTAACAAAGCTTGTTTGACAACACGACATGCCGTGTCGGATATAATTGCTGTATACGGTTGCTATAAGCTGTTGATGTACATCAAAACTTGATACAGCCATCAACGGTCCCGTGTATCGGTTTTTCTTGAACTGCACCCACGTGTGCAGCCTCGCGCAGACGTCTGAAGTAAACGGTATGGATGTGACCTTTAGGTCAACCCATCTCTCGACGCGCAACTGATCCACAGGAGTGTATAGATTTGATGGTTGTTGCGTCACTTGTGTTGTGGGGAGGGTCGTTTAATGGAAGTCGAGGAATTGTCTCTGACTGCAATTAGAGTTGGGGTTTTTTTTATACTGCTGGAACTGCTGTTGCAGTGGTTAATGTGTTGTGCAAGTTTTATTGCTTAACTGGTGTATGGGGAGTGCAGGTAGGGGTAGTGTATGTCTTATTACTGTAATGGTTTTTGACAAATGCAAGTTTTACAGCTAAAACTAGTTAATGTGTAGTGCAATTTTTAAAACTGCTAAACTTGGTGTGTGGTGATAGTGTACGTCTTATTACTGTAATGGTTGGTGATATGTGCATGTTGTACTGCTAAACTAGGATGTTGGGAGTGCAGGTTTTATAGCTATAATTGGTTAATCTGCAGTACAAATTTTTTTACTGCTAAACTTGTATGTGGTGATTTCAAGCGGGGGTAGTGTACATCTCATTACTGTAATGGTTTGTGAGATGTGTATGTTTTACTAATAAATTGGTTTATGTGAAATGCGAATTTTTACTGCTAAACTAGATTGTGGAAAATGCATATGATATTGCTAATATGGTTTATGGGCATTGCAAGACTTTCTGCTAAAATGGTTTATGAGTAGTGCACGTTCAATTGCTAATATGGTATTGCAAGATTAACAGCTGAAATGGCTCATGTGAAGAGCAAGATTTACAACTATAACTGTAATGTGTAGTGCACGTTTTTCATGTAAATGGTTAATGGGAAGTGCTCATCCAATTACTAAAATGGTGCATGTGAATCGTAAGAATAACATCTAAAATGGCTAATGAGAAGTGAGTGTTTTTCTTCTAAAATAATATAAAAAGTAAACGTCATGCTGGGACAATAGGCTTATGGGAATTGTAATTTATATTGCTAGCTCAATGATACCTCAAGTTTAATTGCTGCAGCTCTGAAGTTTGCCATAAGATTTTTCTGGAATCTGACCCGCCTTTCGGAACTTGAGCTTGTGTTGTATGCCAACTCGTTGTTTTGTGTTGGGTTCACGTGTACCGAGTCAATGAGTTGCTGTAGATTTAACCCGTGTGGTTAAGGTTAGATCAAACACTGAGATGTTGGTAGTTAATATCGGTAGTTGCCCACTTCAAAGCTATACAATTTAGATATATTTGCACTTATTAACCCTACTTGAACAAAGCATCGCTCACATTTACCACACCTTGATTAACTTTACCTGTTTTGTCACTACAATCATCCTCACACGTCACGTCTTAAATTTCTCCTTGCCTTACCCTCATCCCTCACTCCCACTTCACCACACCCAATTCTCCGACACCTCACTCATCCCCCACCCTCATACACCCGCATTCTCCCTCAAACCCATCTCGCCACGTCCCCTCCTTACCGCACTGACCTACCTTCCTATGTTACAATACCCCCATCTTATGACATCCCCAAATGCATGTGTTATTGCTAATATGACGTCCCCAATACCCCCATCTTATGACATCCTCAATACCCCCATCTTATGACGTCCTCAACACCCCCATCTTATGACGTCCTCAATACCCCCATCTTATGACGTCCTCAATACCCCCATCTTATGACGTCCCCAATACCCCCATCTTATGACATCCTCAATACCCCCATCTTATGACGTCCTCAACACCCCCATCTTATGACGTCCTCAATACCCCCATCTTATGACGACCTCAATACCCCCATCTTATGACGTCCTCAATACCCCCATCTTATGACGTCCTCAATACCCCCATCTTATGACGTCCTCAATACCCCCATCTTATGACGTCCTCAATACCCCCATCTTATGACGTCCTCAATACCCCCATCTTATGACGCCCCCCCCCCCCCCCTTTTACCGCACTGACCCACCTTCCTATGTTACAATACCCCCATCTAATGACGTCCCCAATACCCCCATCTTATGACGCCCCCCCCCCCCTTTTACCGCACTGACCCACCTTCCTATGTTACAATACCCCCATCTTATGACGCCCCCCCCCCTTTTACCGCACTGACCCACCTTCCTATGTTACAATACCCCCATCTTATGACGCCCCCCCCCCCCTTTTACCGCACTGACCCACCTTCCTATGTTACAATACC